TTTTTTAACTTTTTAAATATAAATTTTAAATAAAAATTTAACATTTTATGTAAACAACAATTTTAATTTTTCCCTTGTATGTAATTCTTGTATTTTATAATAACTTTTTTTACTTAAAACATTTTAATTAAATGATCAAAATTGGATAAAAAATTACGTTTAATAATTGATGAGAGTATTTTTCCAAAAAGTTCCATATATAACTAGAGTAAAAACAAAAACGGGATAGGATGTCTTTTACTGTAAACAACACATGATCCAGTTAATTCCGCTTTTCACCCAAGTCACAGAAAGATGGGACTGAAACTTCTCCTCCTCCAGCTCTCAGGACGTTCACCTTCAAATCAATAATACACTGTAGTTTTTATTGTTAGTGTTAAATCTTGTATTAAAAGAATTATTACTTTTTATTTTTAGTTTTGGGTTTTAATAATTACAAAAGTTATAAAAACCAAAATTAAAAACTGAAAACCACAATTATTCTAAACAAAAACTCAATTATTAAGGGGAATTGAAAATTATAATAAATAATTATATATGAAATCTAATAATTTTGTTTAAAATAAAAATTGACGAATAAATTGAAATAGCATTTTAGAAGGGGTAACCAAATAAACTAAATTGAAATGGAAGAATACTACAAATACCCACGAATAAATGGCTCATATCTTAGGTCACAAGATTTTTTTTTTTTTAAATCCTTTTATTATTGATATATAAGTCACAACAAGAGTAGCTTTGTCCTTTTTATTTAGGATAATGCTATGTATACCCTCCATCGTTACGCCCTCAATTACACACTTTATTTTTCGTTACTTTTTCGTTAACTCCGAAGCCCACCCAACCCAGTCCTTTCTTTCTCTCTCCTTTCCTATCTCTGTAGTTTCAGCCGATTCTTGGACATCTCCGATCGTTCCCCTGTTTTCTCAAATGGTCCATCGCTGTCACGATGCCTTTCCATTTCTCGTGGGTCACCAGACAGCAGGACACTCTAAGGAAGAAGACTGTGCAGGTGCAGGAGCAGGAGCAGGAGCAAGTGTAGAGACAGAGCAATCATCAATTGAAACAGTGGAGAGAGAAGCATCAAAGCCAGAAGCTGTAGAGAAACAGAGTTGAGCAAAAGCTTTAAGGTGAATATTATTTGAGGAATTAAATCTAACACCTGCTGGGCATAAACAGATTTTGCAAGTGAAATAAACTAAAGGAATGTAAACTCAAGCCAAATTGGAAGAGGAAATTCATCTGTTCATATTATTCAAGAGAAAGAAAACGACCTTACAAAATGGGCTGAAAACAACAACTGAATTAAGCTAGAAATTAGCAACCACTTAGCCACTAAGAACAATAAAACATGTAATCCTGATAACTGGGAAACTGAAAGACACGTAGCCAACTAATACCCAAAGAATAGGACAACAGATAACTAAAGACTTATTCAACAGAAGCAGATCTGGCGGAATCATCAGACCCAGAAGCAGATTTGACGAAAGCAGGGGACATGGCGCTGTAGGGCGGTGGTTGTGAAAGTAGATTTGTTGGAGGTGGGTTCAAAGGAACCTAACCTGCTAAAGAGAAAGATGAGGCTGCAGCTGATGTGACGAGGAAGATGGATGTGGTGAGGATGGTGAACAGCAAGGGCTAGGCTAGGTGCCTTTAAAGTTAATGGAAAGTAACGAGGGTGGATACCTTTGGTGGCACTTTTATTATAGGAATAGGATTTATTAAGTTTGGATTTATTAACAAAAGCTAGTTGTGTTAACCAACTTGAGGTATGAGTTTGACGACGCCATTAGGCCCTTGAATGTCAACGTAGAGGTAAACACGATTGCAGCAGAAATCTCCGAACCCCTTCATGGCTTTATCTATGACTATACAGGTCACGTATGGATTGTCCCCATTAATTGTTGCTTCGGCCTCTGGCCATTTCTTTCCAACCAATTCCGGCCACGCATACTTATATTCTGAAAACAATTTTAAAAAATATACATAATTAAACATACATATATATAGCATGTTTAGATGAGAATGAGACGAGATGCCATGAATTTTTTTTTTTTTATGAGCTTAGCTAAAAAAATTAAAAATAAATTGAAGTAATATAAAGATAATTTTTGTATATAATTTTAATATATTATTAAATAATAAATTTAAGAGTTAATATTTCTTCGATTTATTTATTTATTTTTTAAAATCATCTTAATACATTTTTTAAAAATAAGATAATTTAAATTTTTT